TAAACAATTTAAAAATAAAAGCTGCAGTTTCGCTTTTGACAGTACAACTTGAATGCGTGATTTTTAATTAAAACGTATTTTAGAATGTAATTTACATAAAGAGGTAAATTCTGTAAAAAGCGAAGTCAGTTTTATTTAATTACTATAGAAATTTGAAGAGCAGCTTGAAAACCATTGAAATTGAAGTTATTTCTAGAAAGTGGTGTAATATCTCCATGCTGCAGTTACACTCGTATAGGCATTCAGCACAATCATTTTACTGCTGGATGATCAAATTTCAATTTCTGAAATCATAAAACAGTTAGTGTTAATAAGAAATATGGTAAGAGAAAAAATAAAAAGTTTCAGATTCATCTAAAATCGTTCGTTATAATTTGAACAGGTTTACAGATTGTACTTGGAAATAATGCATATTTTGAAGAGTTTATTAACCCAATACATGCGTCTGCCTTGAGGCGCACTTTATTATTTTTCTTCTTCTCAAAATATCATTAACACATATTAAATGCTTATTACATATCTGCCGATATAAGTCTTGAATATGGGTAAATTGCATTTAATGAAGAAGAAAATTTTTTTTTTTCAAAATTGGTCAAAATTCGATTTTTTTTTATTTTTTTTTGCTCGTGACGGTAGAATTTTGTACCCCAAAAAAGAAAAAATGTCTCAAATTTTTAGCTCAAAACATGAATTTTGAACGGTCGCTCATAATTTATTATATACAACATTATTGCTTTTGATGTTTTTGAGCGACCTTTTAAATCGTAATATTAAGTATTAATTTCAATTTTTGCTTTTAAGTAGCATTCAGAATTTATAATGACAGAAAAAAATCCAATAAATACAACAATGAAAGCATAATTTAATAAATCGAATTTTGACCTTTTAAAAAATCTTGAGAGACTTCTAAAAAAATTTTTTGAGCTGCACTTTTGGAGGGGGTTTTAAAACATGATAAATTAACATATTTTCGTACCAGACTCAAAAAAAAAAATAGCCACCCTTATCTACAAGATAATATATATTGCATTCTGAGTTAAGAAAATGCAAAAACTTTTACAAGGTATAAAAATCAATTTTCCTTGAAACTTCTGAAATATTTTTGCACATACGTTGTTGCACTGGATGTGTAATATTGTTGTGCCGGCACTTACTTTGTTTACCTTTCAAGTTGCCTGTCTGTGTTCCGCCACCGCTGGACGATCGAGACAAAAGACCTCTTATGAAAGATCTACCGCAGGTGTGGATTCATGGACAAGGACCATCTAAAAACATCTCGAAGTCTACGGAACAGGACTGGATTTGTCTGAAACATAATATTTGATAACAAATAAATAAGTTATAAAATAAGTTGGTGTATTTAGTGAATATAAATTATAATAATTAAAGGGTTTAAAATAAACAGACATAACAATATGTTAATATTTGAGGAGTGCAGTTTCAAAACTTGCTAACTCCATGCCACAAGGCCCCCTCTCACTGGAGCCGCCCTTGCCTAATAGAAAAGGTGAAAGATGTAAACTTATGTTATCAGAATATTTAATTTCTTATTATAAGGCGAAAGTTGTCACTTGTTTGTGTTTAATAAAAGAAACTATCATTTTCCATTATTTTGTTGTATCAAAATCCGTAAAATAGGCTGTGCAGTTTAAAACAGTAAAAGTTCAATATATTTTTTACTGTATTTGTTTTTCTACCTGCCAAAAAAATTTAAATAAGTAGTTAAACATTGTCTTAGAATAGTCTTTGAAGTACCTTATGTATTAGCAGATTTGAAACTTTAGTAATTTTGAAGTCCTAGATTTTCCAATTCTGAGAAATCACTTAACAGGGACTACAAAGTTTTGAAACTACACTCCACATTTAATCCTCATGTATATTTTGTAAACCATTTGCCCTAGCAGTGTTATTTTTTTCTGACAGAAAATATTTATCCAACTATTGCTGCGTTTGAGAATCCACATCGGATGCATTTTTTACATCTCGAGCGTTTTTTTATCCACATCGGACACATCTGTCCCATTACATTTACGTATACTGAATCACGTGATCAAAGATTTTTTACATCTCAGATGCATCCGATGTGGATTCTCAAACGCGGCACAAACTGTATTCAAGAGATTACAAATGGAAATTTAAATATAATCTGTCATCAGTCACTCTTCTTCTTTACCATTGTGAAATAACTGGCCTCTTTTTTTAAGAAAATCGGTCAATTACTACTAGCCTATTTTTATTCAATGATTTAGCCAATTTATTAACCTCTTCTTTTATAAGATGAAGGCCAACCCAAATTACAAATAAAAAAGAAGAATACCAAATTTCTTCAAGACAAAGGCAATGAAAATATTGAAAATTGAGAAGAACGAAATAACCTAATATAACCTAAAATTTCTTGGAAATACATACAAATATGAATTTTAGACAGGTAATCGGTAATCTAAGAAAAATAGGGACAGTTGACTGATAAAATGTATCCATCAGGAGCTACTATAATTTCTGGCTTAACTAAATGTTCCTTCTTAAAAGAGCAATAGGACTGACGTAATATTCTAAAATTGCTGCTCCTTTCAATGGATATGTACAGTCTACATAAATTTATAGCCTTTGGATCATCTGGTGTAGGGTTATAAAGCTTGTTTACAAATTGAGGTATATGATTTATTATATAATTGTCTCTGGTTATTGATCTGAATCCAATATTGTTAGGCACAAATCTTTGCAGCAAAGACAGACGGGCATTAGACATTATTAAACTAGTGACTTGTCTCGAAGAATAATTAAAAAGTAATTTTATGAATTCATCTGATAATCCATGCCTTAGCTTAACAAGAAAAGCAAGTAAATCTTTTTGTCCAATATTTCGCCTGTTACCATATTGATCAATTGGTTCACACAACTCATACAGTTCTTGAAAATTTTCTTTAGAAATTGACGTTAAATATTTAAATTCCTCTAAACTAAAAGTACCTATATCTTCCCAATTTGTTACATGAATATTTGAATTAGCAGCAGTTCTTAAACTGGACAAAAATGACTGAATATTATTTAGAATTAAGGCCTATTAACAAAAGGCAAGCCACCATGTAAATTAAGCATTAGGATACCTGAATGATCTAAATGAATTTCACATATTTTCAAATGTTCAGGTACATAAATATTAGATACTAGAAAAATATTTGCTCTACATTTTGCCGATATTTTTCTTACATTACCTTGCACATTGCATACTATGCAACCACGTACTGAATGGGGTGTTAAAACGTTAAGTCTAAGGCAATTTGGATTGTTTTCAATATGTCTTAGGTCCTCTGCAATTCCATGAAAACAATTTAAACATGACCTTACTTCTTCTAGATTTTCGACAGCAGGAAATCCGGCAGCTTGTCTTCTATAAGTAGCCATATTTAGAAAATCTATATTATTGTCTTCGTTTAAACGCGTCGTAAGTCGAACTTGAAAGTTTCTATTACAAACATAACAATTTATTCTATTTGCAAATGACATATTTGCAACAATATTTAGTTGAAACACTACAATTTTAAATTAAACAATTTAATAGCACGTATTATAAAAAACCACAAATACATGATCGAATGTTTGGTGCCATATCGTCGTTTGTTTTTATATGGGATTTTAGGGAAGTTGAAACACCTGTCTTTCATCGTGGTCTAAAGTAATTCTCATTGGCCCAAAGTTTCTGAACAGCAACGAAAGTAAACGTCAACGAATTTGAAATTTGTTACAGACATTTTATAATATTCAATGTCCCACCCTTCCTGTTGTTATTCGTATCTCATGTAGTTTTACTTTTTACTCATAGTTTTGGGGTAAATTTACAAAAAAATGATGTACTGTTAATGCGAGAAAAACAAAAAAAAACACTGTCAAAGCAGTATTTTGTCCAAACTATGGACATAAAATGGCGGCGTTTCAACCTATTTGCACTTTCTATAGACATAATTTCGAAACAAGAACTAGATAATAGTAGATTTCTGTAAAAATGCTTCGGCAGTAATTAAAGCAGTAGATTTCTGCTTTAGTCAAAATTAACATGGACATAAAATGGCGAATAAAGTACATCTTGATCGATGGAAGATTTGCATTAGTCAGGTAAAAAAAGCGATTTTGTTTTAATTATAAGATTTTAAACTTTAATAACTATAGACGAGCCTTCTGACCACTCGGTTTTGTTCTACACTTGGTGAAATCCACAGGGCGATTTAACAATTAACTATTCTGCTTTACATTTGTAAGAATTTAATAAATATAACAAAAATATTTCAAATATTGATATGAAACTTTTTATTTGTAATCAGGGCCCTTTTTCATTAAAAACCAGACCTTTTCAAAACACGTCAAATTACTGCCAGTTTTAATTAATATTAGGCATTCCAAACAAATGAATTACCAGTGGGCAGGTTTGGTATATCTAAGGGTGGCGACATATGGTGTATTCTATCTACTTTACGTAAAATCATGAATAATGGATTACATTTAAATATTTTATGTCAAACACAATAAAAATAATGTTTAAAAAACCCACCTAAACATTTCTTCATAAATTGGCAGGCTTGGCGAGTACTACTTCGAATAAAAATAGCGTCCAAGTTGCAAGACTATGTCGCTACCCCCTTAAATATACAAGAATTTCCCACTGGCACCTATTGTTTGACAGGTCGTTGGAATGTCTAATTGGTGAATTAATGTCAAAATCACAGCATTCTAGATTATTAATGAAAACTGCCAGGGAAGATTTTGAATAGTCAAGTAGCAAAAGAACTTATTTTAATTAAATGACTAAACTCTAATAACTCTTAAACGTCTAAAGATAGAGACGAGCGGTCATAAGCGTTCACATTCACCATTTCTGTTCTATACTTGAAATCTACAGGGCGATTCAAAAATGATTAATTGAAAGAAATGATACGAAATTTTAACGGTTGTTTCATATAATGCTCTAATTTAACAGATATTGACAGGTTAGTTGAAATAAACTGGAAATTGAAATTATTTTATTTGTAAATAACAATTTTTACATTAAATATACTTTATTCGATAAATAAGATTTAATAGGTGGCTGCTTTTTTTGAAAATACGTAAGTAATATTAATACTTTTTATGAAAAAAATCATTCTTTCCAAAGTTACTGCATTTTTTGGGGTATTTCTGTTAGAAACAAATTTTTGTGACATATTACTACATTTTTGGGGAATTTTTTTATGAAAACAAATCTTTTTGGTATATTTTTAAACTAATCATTACCTCCAATTGCCTCTCCGACCCCACGTTACCCCCTTGCTTCTAATTCCACAATGCAAACGAGAATATTACCCCACTGTCCTAATTTTTAATCCAAAAAAATACCCCATCCACAAAGATTACTTCAAAATTAAACCTTCAAGGTATTATTAGAAAATACTAACCTTACTTACGAATATTTTCACAAAAACAATAGTTTAGACAATTATTATAATAAATAAATTTCAGATAACATAGATTATAATTCTATAAACAAACAATAAAATGAAATACACAAATAAAAATACAAAAATTTATTACAAGTAAGGCTCCGACCAATACTTCATAGAATGCTTTTCAAATAAATTATTTTTAACGCTAGACTTCAATTTAATATCTTTGGGCTTCAACACATTTTTATGACTGCTAAACATTCTAGGAGTCAGTAAAGATTTAGTACTCAGCCCCGTACATTCCAAAAAGTGCTCGTAAGTCGGTTCGTTCGGCCTCAAAACGGGAACTCCTCGAACAGATTTCGTATTATCCGATTGCTTGGTATGCTGCAACTCCAAATGTTTCTTAAATAATTCTATAGCACTTCGATTTAAAGTAGGAGAAATTATATCAGCATTATTATTAGTTTTAATAACGTTAGAATGCGATGCTTGTGTATTGTCTTCTTGAGCGTTATCAGTTTTAATTTCTTCTACAGTATATTCCTCAATTTCACAGTCATCCAGTTTGAATTCTTCGAAATTTTGACTCAAATCGAACTTTTCGAAATTTGGCGATTTTTGTGACTCTTCAAAACTAGAAAACATAGTTTTGCTGATTTTGTTTTTATCAGGACTGTGTTTAATTTCGTTTAGTAGTTGTTGGTTGTTAAAACTGGAAATAAGACTAGATACTGATGATCCCATTACGACAGGCTTGCGCATGGGGCTCTCTTTAACTGCAGATTTTAATTTTAAAATTTGCGTGTTATTCCTCATGTAATTATCTTGACTAATTCTGGCATCTTTCTCCTTTTCTTCGTCTTCAGATTCTGGAATCAGGATTTCTGATACTTGGGGTAACTTCGGTATTTCTATAGTTTCCTTCTTTTTAGGGGAAATAAGTTCTGATTTAATAGGAGTATGTTTAGCTAGCTGTATATTCATCTTCTCCACACATTTTTTAACGACCAAACTATCTTTATCGCTTTCAGAAATCTTCTCATTTTTTACCAAAACGTCACCGTTTAATTTATTGACAATATCAAGTGATGTCGGGGCATTAATTTCTGCAACAACGCTGATTTTTTTGAAAGAAGAATTCTTATTTTGAGGCAGATTTAGTTCTGATATCGAGCAGTAATCTGGTTCGCTTTTTTCTGATGGAGGGCTTTTAGGGGAATTTATTTTATATTTAGATACTAAATTTGGTGGTTTTGGAGGTAAAGCTGGAGGAGTTCTCAGTATCTTACTCTTCTTTATTAACTTAGTTTCCTTTTTCTTTTCATCCATATCTACGTAGTGATGATTTTGGTCTGGTTTATCGGAACTGGTAAATGTTTCATTACATTTGCTTAAAATTTGCTCGTAATCATTGCTGTAAATGCTTTGAGGAGTTTCGTAAAAGTTTGGAGAATTCTGAATGGGTGTTTCGTAATAATCTTGATTTGGATCTTCCTTTTCTGTCAAATTTTCTTGTGTTAAAGCATTGTCTTTTGTTTCTTCTTTAATCTCTTCATCGCTGAATGTGACTCTTTTATTCTTGGATGACTTTCTTTCGATGGTTGGCGTTTTTGGAGGAGAATTTAATGTATCGTTGATATTTTGCATCAAAATTTGATTCATACATTCTAGTACGGGATTGTTTCTGTAAATATCCCTGTGTTCGTCGTCTTCTTGGTCACTTGCGCTGGCATACCAGTTATCGTTGGTTTCCTCCCCTGCTTCGAAAACTGGTATGGACTCTGTTATCTGAGATAGCCTCTTTTCCTCTTCTTTTTTAGCCTCATCTGAAGTATTTATAGTTTCTTCTGAAACAATCTGGTGAGTTTTTTCGAATATATGTTCAATATTCTCAGTGACTTTACTAATTTTGTTATCAACTCCCTCTGGTGGAAGGGAATCCAGATTATCATAATCGTTACTAGTGTTATCTTCGTTAGATAAAGGACTGTTGTTTTCCTTTCTCATTTTGAGTACTTCGAAGTAAGTTCCAATACTTTTTCGATGTTGAAGTTTCCTAGATCTTCTTCCCAATGAATCTTTTCTGCAATTTTTTTGGTAAATGTTCTTAGATTCGTGTTCTTTGGAGTTATCTTCGTAAGAACTTTCTGATTTATTAAAATCTTTTTCAGAAAGTGTGGTATAAGTTTCGCTGCTGCTGTCCAGAGATTCGAAGTTTGAAGATTGGTATTCTTGGCAATCAGTGAGCACGTACTCTGTACTGCTATCAAGGCTTTCTTGAATTGGACTCGAAGCGTAGTATTGGCTACAATTCTTGCAGTATTGGTTGGTTAATAGTTTTCTTATATCGACGTTTTGTTTTTTTATTATTAAGTCTTTTTCGTTGAGCTGTTTGGTTATGAATTTCTGTTCTTGTCTTAGACGTGCTTCAAATATTAATAATGCTCTGAGAACTTTTGCTAGTTGATCATCACGTAAAGATTTTTCACTCTTATATTGGTATTCTTTTTCTTGGAGCCGTCTAGTGTATTCTGTTACTAACTGTCTGCATCTCTTTGTTTGCAGTCTCAGAGATTTTTGGACTATTTCTAACTCGTCTCGGATAGATTTGACTTCTGATTCAGTGTACATCTGAAACAAAGAAAAAAAAATACGATAGAAAATTTGTTGGATTATAATAAAATAGTGTTTAAAATTTAAAATGGTTTCACTCTGTAAGGAACTTTTCATCATAATTACATAATTTTCTTAAATAACTTGACTATCGTTTCAACTAGGAAGAAGTACAAAATGGTTTTTTAAAGTCAACGCTGAGTTGTCCGTAAGGCCAGAAAATTGGATTTTCAGATCAAATTTGGGGGAATTTTAACAAAAATTTGTTTTTGTTAAATAACTTGACTATCGTTTCAACTAGGAAGAAGTGGTTTGCATCATTAAATTTCTCTTTTAAAGCTCTACAAAATGGTTTTTTAAAAGTCACCGCTGAGTTGTTCGTAAGGCCAGAAAATAGGATTTTCGGATCAATTTTGGGGGAAAATTGACCGAAAAATGTTTTTGTTAAATAACTTGACTATCGTTTCAACTAGGAAGAAGTGGTTTGCATCATTAAATTTCTCTTTTCAAGCTCTACAGAATTGTTTTTTAAGTCACCGCTGAGTTGTCCGTAAGGCCAGAAAATAGGATTTTCAGATCAAATTTGGGGGAATTTTGACAGAAAAACGTTTTTGTTAAATAACTTGACTATCGTTTCAACTAGAAAGAAGTGGTTTGCATCATTAAATTTCTCTTTTCAAGCTCTACAGAATTGTTTTTTAAGTCACCGCTGAGTTGTCCGTAAGGCCAGAAAATAGGATTTTCAGATCAAATTTGGGGGAATTTTGACAGAAAAACGTTTTTGTTAAATAACTTGACTATCGTTTCAACTAGGAAGAAGTGGTTTGCATCATTAAATTTCTCTTTTAAAGCTCTACAAAATCGTTTTTTAAAGCCACCGCTGAGTTGTCCATAAGGCCAGAAAATAGGATTTTCAGATCAAATTTGGGGGAATTTTGACAGAAAAACGTTTTTGTTAAATAACTTGACTATCGTTTCAACTAGGAAGAAGTGGTTTGCATCATTAAATTTTTCTTTTAAAGCTCTACAAAATGGTTTTTACTAACTGAAAAATTCTTTACTGCCTTATACAGTATTAATAAAATATTAATAACAAATATATTCCATAAAGTTAAAAACGACCCCCTATAAAGTACCTCCCCTGATGTTCCGACTATGTCCAAAATCTAATCAGCTTACCGTAGGATGGATTAAAGCTTAAGTTTAAAATTTGGCCATTTTCTCTGTATGTATCCTCTGTATATAGACAGAAAAGTAAAAATTGGAAACTTTTTTTTGAATTAACTCAAAAACTAAATTATTTTTAATAATTTTCAAAACTGATCAGATATCAGCGATCCTGTATAAGAGATTTAATTATATTTCTGCACACGTTCTTTGTAGACGACTTCTGGAATGTAATGTCTTCGGATTTTATGACTGTTAGAGACTTAAGATCGATTAAAATTCAATAAACAGCTCATATTATAAACGCCATAATTTTAAAGAGAACACGTTGAAAAGTCCACTAAAAATGTGTGAATTTTACGTATCAGCATGTTTGATTTCAAGTTAACGAAACAAATGGAGTTGCAAGGGAGGTAAATATGGACATTATTCTTTATGGGACATCAATTTGAACTTTAAAGATTGTTTCCTTTTCAAAATAATCAACCACCTTCATTCCCAGGTTAAAAAAAACTGATACAAATTTAATTTTGCTGACATTTATGTTCAAATATTCGTTGTATACCTAACGCTTAAAAATGTAATGTTGCGGAAATTTATCAAGAAAAACTAATAACTAATAAAGCAGAAAACGTGCAATTAAACTTTTTTGTTTGATTTATTATAGTACTGCTTTAACAGTTCAGAGATTGGATGAGAACAGGAAATTATTAAAATGCAAATTTCTTGTAAACATCTTGTAAAATCTAAATAAAATGTTAGTAACGGCAAAGGTTTAAACATTTAAACGCTTATGATTGTTTTCAATATATTTATTAACTAACTTTTACTACAATGTACAAAATATTTTATAAAAACAAATGGTGTCACTTTTGTCTAACGTCTAACATTTTCAACTCTAACATACATGATATTAATTAAATAATTCAACAAAGAAGAAAGAAATCATTAGTTATAAACTAAATGGGTTTATAACAACTGTTTCTTTTTTAATTTTCTATCACAATTTCATCGGATCGGTGTTACTTCCTTCTTTGACTAACCATTAAAAAAATTCGGTGCCCACGAGGTAAGTACGAGACAAAAATTCCGAAGTAACTTTCTACTTATTACTTATGGCGGCTGGACGTGTTCATAACATGTTTAATGAACTTGGTATTGAAAAGGAAATAATTTTTTAATCGTTTGACCTACTCTATTAATCATTTAATTAGGCCTCAGGAAATTCGACTGAGAATCAACACATGGAAGTGAAAGGACCAGGCAGCAGGGACGGTGCTAGGGGCGGATAAGCAGGGCCCCAGCCCGGAGCGGTAACCTTATGTGGCTGTAAAATTAACCAGTTTATGAGGAACATTATTAAAACAAGACAAAAAATGCTATACCGACGGTCTAATCCGACACTGCGTGTATCTGATAGCACAAAAATGTGTTTCAACACATCCAAGTTGCGAATTGAGTCCCAACCCTCGACAGGTGGTCGACAATTTGTTGAGGACTGGATTATGTATGGTTCAAGATTGTTTTTAGAAACAAACCTTAGAACGATTGAGAGTTACTCACAGAAACTCATTACCGCAGAGATAAATTATTGAGGCGCTTCTACGAATTTTTTTAATAATAAAAATGCTTGTTTATAATTGTTTAGCTCTCCTAGGTACAAGTTCCAAACTTAACGATTTCAGTAATGGTGTTTTTTTACAAATTATTCAATTACTTGCTCAGTTTGATCAAATAATGGAAAAGAGAAATTTAGAGTCTACTATTATCTTGGAAGAGATATTCAAAATGAAATAATTACACTTTTAAGTGAAAATATAACATCTCACATTATTAACGAGAATAAAAACGCTAAATATAATTTAATAATTCTAAATTCTACTCCTAATTTCAGCAAGATCGAGTAAGGTATGTATCAATTGACAAATCCAATCCCAATGAGGTTTTCATTAAAATGAATGGAATGAATGGGGTGTTAATACACTGCGACCTAAAAGATCTATTGTGCCCCCTTCTGTCGCCACTGCACTAAGGAAATGTCTCAATCCCTATAGCGACTCTTCCAATCCTATTTTCTCAAGGAAGTGTAGGATTTGAAGTGGCTTCAAGTTAGGTAAGTCTCCCTCTTCTATTTAATATCCTCCTAGATATAGTGCCCTTGGATTCTGGAGTGCTACACATTCAGTTAGGATGTGAATGGAGGTTTCGTCCTCCTCCTCACAGAATCTGCACTCACTATCCTCTACTACTCTCAGTTTACTTAGGTGTCCTTTTAGTCGGCAATGCCCGGTAAGGATCCCTGTTACAATACGTAGCCTGTTCTTGCTCAGGCAGATGCAGGCTTTCGATCTTTTTTAGTTATATTCACCCAGAAGTATCTTGGCCTGTCTCAGCCCCAAGAGATTGTTCCAATTATCGGTTCTTCTACTACCCAATTCTTTTTTAATCTCTCCTAATATTATGTTACTGCTGATACCGCAGAACGGCTCAGGTCCTACAAAGGGTGTTTGAGCCCCTTTCCTTGCAAGACTATCTGCAATCTCGTTACCCTGTACCCCGTTATGTCCCGGGACCCAAGTGAGAGTAACTATATTTTTCTCGCCTAGCTCATTCAATTGTTCTAGGTATCTCCAGACCAATTTTGAGCTGATTACGTAAGAACTCAGCGCTTTGATGGCTGCTTGACTATCGGACATGATGATAATCTCTTGTCTATGATAGTTTCTCTCGATGTTAAACTGGATACACTTCTCGATGGCGTGAATTTCCGCCTGGAAGATGCTTGGATATTTTCCCAAGCTTTCGGAGTGCTTGGTTCTCGGTCCATACACTCCTATTCCAGTTCCTTCTATGGTTTTGGAACCATCCGTATATCACTGAATAGCACGTCTTTCGGTTGCAAGCGCGATGGATTCTTGGCTCCATTCTTTCTTGCAGCCCAGCTCTGTGGTTTTGAAGTTTTTCACAAAACTACTTCTTTTGCAATTCATCCTGGGGCATGTCCCAGGTATCTTTAGTCCTGAAGCAAGTAGACTTTCGTCTGAACGGTTTTGAGATTAAGTTTTCTTTTCCTTGAAAAGGCTACTAGTGTTGTTTTTGTAGGGTTTATACCCACTTCACGGCACCATCTTTTGGTATGTTCTAGTCCTCGTTGGACTATATCACACAGGATATTACTAAACTTGCCACTAGCAAATATGACTATGTCGTCGGCATAACCTTGACAGGGTATGCCGAGGTCAGTCAATCTGCATAGAAGTTCGTCTACGATTAGGCTCCACATTAGTGGACATCCTCTGGTTGTGCAGATGGAGACGGTGTCCTGCCCTATCTGTGTCTCTGCATTTCTCGTAGATAACAGCTGAGCCATCCATCTGGATGTGATGTTATCTACTCCTCTGTATGCAAGTGCTCTTTTTACAGATTCGTGTAGCGTGTTGTCAAAAGCTCCTTCTATGTCTAGGAAGGCACACACGACCGTTTCTTTGTTTGTCAGTGCATCCTGGATTACATCAGTCAACTGTACCAGGGCAGTTTCTGTAGATCTTCCTGCTCGGTACGCGTGTTGGCTGTGGTGGAGTGGCACCCTCTCCAGGACTTCTGTTCTGATATAATTATCCTTCTCCATTGTTTTTAATACAAAGGATGTGAGGCTGATTGGACGGAAAGATTTAGGATGTGTGGTATCCTTTTTCCCTACTTTTGGAATAAAGGTGACTCTGGCTGTTCTCCATGCTTCTGGTATATATCCCAGCTCCAGACTGCTCCGGGATAGCCGGATTATGTGTGGTAGTAATTCCTCCTGTGCCTGCTGAAGCAGGGCAGGAAATATTCCATCCACACCTGGAGAC